TCAATGTAGGGTAATAACTGCTTGATCCAAGGATAAATCTGACTGCCATTCTGGGGTCAAGAAGGAATTTTTTTCCTAGTTTGTTGCAAAATTGTGCTTCAAACTGGGTTTTTTTGCCTTCTTTTGGATCAACAGCAAAAAACAAATGTGAGGTAGGCTGAACTTGATGGACGCAAGTCTCTTTTCAGCTATGTAACTTTGACCCCCTAGTCGCCCCCAAATGCCACTAAGTCCCCCATATTACCTCGTTTTTCCATCTTTATTTTGTGCCCGAACCTATGTCCTGGGCCACGCCATTTTTGTGTGGTTAGATGGAGGCCCTGTGGAACAAGTTTTCTGCCCACACTAGATAGCGCATTAAACTCCGATCTGATTTGGGTCATGGCTGCATCTTGCAGCCAATTTAGGTCTTTCAGCCTTTTGGTGGATAGCTCCCTGATCCTGTGGGAATTAGGGAGTTATCTACTAAGTGGCTGCAGGATGCAGCCATGGCACAAATAAGATTGAAGTTTCATTAATTCTAATGGAATTCCGATACGAACAAAGTCCCGAATTGCCGGCGTTCTGTCTCAGTGACAGGACGTTAGGGAAAAGTGAAAGGAAGCATTGCGGGAACAGGGAGGAAAGCCAAGAATTGTGGGAAAATGTATCTGACCACCAGAAATGAAGCACACTTTGCTCCTCCGCTGGTCAGGCGTATGAAACCTCCATAAGACAAATAGTCCCTACTTTGTCTTATGTTTTCAAGAAAACTAGAGCAGACAGGAAGAAATGAAGAACAGATCCTGACAGAGGCAGAGAAGAGGAATCGATTAAAGAAAGGAGAGTATGGCATGACAGTGCCGTTTTAATTTCCCTCTGCCTCTTCAAGTCAAAGCATTGCCTTGATTTCTGTTGTCAGAGCCAAGGAGAGATTTTAAGTTTGCAAGCAGTTTACAGTCTCCATCCAAAAGTAGGAATTGGTAACTGGCACCTGTCGTACCACAAAAAAAAAACATGTAGGCAGGTCGGTTGAGAAAACTACAGTCTCATTGTTCATCTCTACAAGACTGCGTGGTACTCAGAAACTAGCATCACTGCTGCATATGCTCCAAAAAGCTGAAGAAAGTAAGACTCTCCTCCGCTTCATTGCACACAGAGCAGGAAAGATCCCTTCAGGAGGCCTTTGCAAAATGTGCAAAGATTGCAAAAGGAGAAAGAACCACTTTAGATCATGTGACAACATACAAATTACCCTTTTTAGTATAAAGTCATTTTTGGTGTTGAAAATTTTCAAACAGGAACGTCAATGTAGTCAAAGGATATAAGAGAAAAGCAGAGATTACGGTGTCTAAGGGACAATCCCAGAGATGACAAAACTTCTAGTCAGCAAAACATCTTTAGCTTAGTGAAGTTATAGTGTATAGCTCATGCCCTTGCAGTCTCACTGCTCAATTGTCTGCCATTTAGGAAGTTAAATCACTTTATTCAGCCCTAGGTACACCTCCCTGCATGTGACTTATACAGCATTCCTAAACACTTCCTGTAGAGAGTCATCTAGTGTTTACACTTTCTTTATTGCAAATTCTGCTTAATTTAAAATATATAATCTCATGCTCTTTTAATAGCTTGCTAGAGTCTGCAAAAACCTAATGGATGAGATTAAAAGTTCAATTTACAGAGCACAAGATAAAAACTTTTAAAGTAAGTCAACATCTGATTGAAAATAAAACGCGTTTTGTTTTTATGCAGGCTATGTCGGTCAGCCAGAAGAGGTGTGGCTAGGGCTGCATTAACTCCTAAATGGCAGCAAATTGAGCAGTGAGACTGCAGAGGCATGATATATCCACTAAAACTGCTTCATTAAAGGAACACTATAAGGTCAGGAACACAAACATGTATTCGTGACCCTATAGTGTTAAAACCACCATCTAGCCCCCCTGGGCCCCTTATGCCTCTATAAAACCAAAAATCGAACTGTATTCAAGCCTGAAGCTGTAGCTCTGCATGCTGTCTGCCTCAGAAAAACAAGCTGTCTGCTGACATCAGAAGTGGTGGCCTGATCCAATCAAAATGCTTCTCCATAGGATTGGCCGAGACTGACAAGGAGGCAGATCAGGGGCAAAGCCAGCACAAAACACAGACCTGGCCAATCAGAATCTCCTCATAGAGATGAATTGAATCAATTATTCTGAGGAGAGTTTAGTGTCTGCATGAAGAGGGAGGAGACAATGTTTGGATACATTTTAGGCAGCCATGACCCAGGAAGATCTCTAACAACCATCTGAGGAGTGACCAGTGAAGTTATCACTGGGCTGTAATGTAAACACTGCATTTTCTCTGAAAAAAAAAGACAGTGTTTACAACAAACAGCCTGAAGGTAATGATTCTACTCACCAGAACAAATTCAATAAGCTGTAGTAGTTCTGGTGACTATTGTCCCTTTAACAGGTGGTGCTTCCCCAGTCAACTTTTAGCAATTCCCACAAGCATGCAAGAGAAGATGAAGAGAAAAAAATATATAAATAGTGGAGCGTGTAAGAAAGATCTCAACTCCATCAATAAACAACTATAAAAATGTTTCTAACAATTAAACAGATGAGAGGACCCAGTCCAGTTTTTTTTTTTACACCTGCATATTTACACACACACAGTTACTAGAATTAGGCTGTGAATGCCTCAAATTTGATGACATCACATTGGTTTCTTAAGTTTGCAATGAAGCAAATGGTGCAATTTCCTGCATTAAACATGAAAACCATACGAGTATAAGAATAGCAGTAATGCCTTTCCAGCAGGAAAGTGTGTAATCAAAACAACTAAACATGAAAGCATAAAATAGCAAAACAAAGATTTCTTTAGGTTTTTTTGTTTTTGTTTTTTAGAAAGCTCTTGTCTCTGACCTGAAAGAACCTTTTTAACTCAACTCAATAGTAACTTCAGCACTATAGACCTGGAACAGAGAATATCCCCTGGGGACCAAAAACTTTGCTCTGTTCCCTTTCTTTGTGGTGTGGCACAGAATTAACTTACACTAGTATTTAAAACATTTCCAACATACCGAAACGCTCTCTCTCCACTGGCAGAAACACACTGGGCTGCCCATTCAGACAGCAGACCAGAGCTCATAGATCAGTGTCTGCTAACCATTACCTTTACTGAGAGCATATATAGCTCCCGTCCTCACACAACACAAATAACTGGACAAGCAAAAAAAAAATGTCACTATAACCACCTGCACTACAACCTCTTGCATTATAGCCAACTCCCACTGTACTACCGTCCTCCCCCCGCACTATAATCTCCTGTACTAACCCCCCCTGCACTATAATCTCCTGTACTAACCCCCTGCACTATAATCTCCTGTAACCCCCACTACTATATAATCTCCTGTACTAACCCCCGCCTTATTATAATCTCCTGTACTAACCCCCGCACTATAATCTCTGCTACTATAATCTCCTGTACCCCCTACTATAATCTCCTGTACTAACCCCCAGCACTATAATCTCCTGTACTAACCCCCGCACTATAATCTCCTGTACTAACCCCCCTGTACTAACTATCCTGTACTAACCCCTATAATCTCCTGTACTAATATTGCACTATAATCTCCTGTACTAACCCCCCACACTATAATCTCCTGTACTAACCCCCTGCACTATAATCTCCTGTACTAACCCCCACTATAATCTCCTGTACTAACCCCCCACTATAATCTCCTGTACTAACCCCAGCACTATAATCTCCTGTACTAACCCCCGCTATAATCTCCTGTACTAACCCCCTAGCACTATAATCTCCTGTACTAACCCCCACTATAATCTCCTGTACTAACCCCATATAATCTCATAATATAACCACTATAATCTCCTGTACTAACCCCCATAATCTCCTGTACTATATAATCTCCTGTACTAACCCCCCTACTATAATCTCCTGTACTAACCCCCCATACTAATCTCTGTACTAACCCCATATAATCTCCTGTACTAACCCCCACTATAATCTCCTGTACTAACCCCCCTGCACTATAATAATCTCTGTACTAACCCCCCCCCACTATAATCTCCTGTACTAACCCCCTGTACTAACCCCCTGCACTATAATCTCCTGTACTAACCCCCCTGCACTATAATCTCCTGTACTAACCCCCCCCACTATAATCTCCTGTACTAACCCCCCCCTGCACTATAATCTCACTAGCTACTCTGTACTAACACTATAATCTCTAACTGTAATCTCCTGTACTAACCCCCCCACTATAATCTCCTATACTAACCCCCCACTATAATCTCCTGTACTAACCCCCACTATAATCTCATGTACTAACCCCCTGCACTATAATCTCCTGTACTAACCCCCCCACTATAATCTCCTGTACTAACCCCCCTGCACTATAATCCTGTACTACCCCCCCGCTATACCTCCTGTACTAACCCCCCTATAATCCTGTACTAAACCCCTGCACTATAATCTCCTGTACTAACCCCCCCGCACTATAATCTCCTGTACTAACCCCCCCGCACGGTATAAAGTCCCCCAGACACAGTCTGTCACTAGAGCAGCCCGACACACAGAGCAGCACTGTCCCTTTAATTCGGATAATTTAATAATCTCCCCGGGCACTCCTCCCTCCCTGCCCGCCCAGCGCTGCACGTACCTTTCACCTTGCCAAAAGTGCCCACTCCCAGCGTGTCCCCTAGTATGTAGTGGCCGATCTTCACCCTCCCGTCATGATGCTTCTGTTTATCGGCCGCCATCTTCCCTGCACGCTCCGAGGCTGCGCCGTACCACGCGCGCGCTCTGTAGCTCTCGCTCTCCAACCAACCCCTCGGAGCGGGCACGCGCGCGGCCATCGGGGCGGGGACCACGCAGACAAGCACGCTCGCGCTCCTTCCCTCCCTCCTCCTTAAGGTAGCCGCTGGGAGGGGGCGTGCGTGTGTACGTGCAGGCGGCGTGCGCGCGCCCGGCGAATTTTATTCGCAAATTTCGCTGATTGGGGCAATGTTAGTTGGGGGGGTGGGTGGGGGCAGGGCGATCAGGAAGGCAGTGACAGTAAGGGGTACCTGAGGGTTAATATTAGGTGGGCAAATCCAGACTAAACACTGTTAACCTCCCCTCCCCCTTAAAATGTGTCTGTGGGTGCAGGGTTTAATGTGAATTTCTGAGTATATTTTCATTATGTGGTTTTTACTGTCCTTTTGTTTTCTTGCCTGATTATATTGTTATTTGTTATTTTGGCTTGACCCCCCTGCCCCCCACTATAAATAAGAATAGGACAATCTTGGTTTACGTTAAGAACGTAAAAGGGGGAAAAAATAATATCACAAGACCCCAAAAATACCCCCTGAGTTGGGCGTGCGGTCACAGCAGGTTGTTTATAAGAATTACGCTACGGATGGAAGTCATTAAATTTGGAAATATAGTTGAAAAGAATAACGTAGTTTAGCTGAGGTCATTTTGGCGCTGTATCCAGTCACTCTCCGAGTTGCCGTGTCTTTGGGATGTATGGTATGTTCCCATGGTGTCAAGAATGTTCGATTTTTCAACCCTTAGAGCTGTCTGGTGGCTGTTGTAGATATAACTTAGTTGACGTGATCAGCTATTTATATTTTATTGCTTTTGCAAAATGGCAGCCAACCAATGCATGTCAAAGGGGAAAGCAAAGGCTAAGAGAGCCTGCGAGGATAATGCGGCAACCAGGGCTGTCCGGTTTTCTTTTGAAGAGAATAGTATACTAATCGCAAAAGTCTGTGAGTATTACGATGAAATAATTGGCATGGCAGCGCCGGAGACTCCCCAGAAGAAGAAGAATGAGTTGTGGAAAAAGATCGTGGATGCAGTTAACACAGTTGGTGGGAATAATCGTACAGAACTCGTAGTAAAAAAGAGGTATTTTGATGTGAAAAGGCAACTGAAGCGGAAATTATGCAAGGCGGCCTCTCATGTAACTGAGACCGGGGGCGAGAAGTCTGAAGATGCGGACCTAACCAGTTATGAAGAAGAACTACTGCAGGTTCTGGTACCCGGAACCGATATAGAGGCGATTGATGATACAGACAGTACAACAAGTATGTTTTAGTTGTATTGTAAAAACCAAATGCTTATAATTAGCTGTGTTTTTTTTTTTTTTTAAATGAAGACATTGCACGTTTCAGATGTATGTATATATCTTTGAGTTTTCAGTCGATCTCCTATTCAGAACTTTCATTAAAATGCTAGTAATGTCACAGTATTGTATATTCTACAGTTCAGTCTTTCTTACAAATTAAAGCGTAATTGTCTTCTTAAAATTACACGGTATGGTATTATGAAGAACTGAAAAAAAACTAGATTCTACTAGAAAATATGTACAGTAGATTGTTTATTAATATAGTTATTTTCCAGTCTTTATTTTATTACTGATTTTATTACTGATGCTAAACTAATCAAAAATGAGTGCCCTCTTTACAAATTGCATATGCAGCTACACGACCCAAAGTATTGTGTGAGCATAGACTCTGATAATGCATTTGGATTAGGTAGATGGCACGTAAGTATAGGGGAAATTCACAAAGCGCAGAATTAGTGAGAACTAAATTCAGAATCTAGTCCAAAATAACGTTGAAAATGATATGCTTTTCAATATTTGCAATTTAATTTTGAGTTCATTGCCATTTTTGTTTAAGTGATATTCTTGCAATGTATTTGCAGATGGTCTAATTTACACAATGTATAGATTACATTCATATAGCTTACAAAAAATGAAGAGAAAGAATTGGAGATTGCAATTACATCACATATGGGAATAGTGGGAATGCACCTATGGTGAAATCACCAAAATTCATTAAAACTTCACTTTTAATAAGTCATAGATAAAAAAAGTCCAACAATCAGTGAACTTGTAAATATAACACAAACTGACCACAAACAGTACTCTTGCAAAACAAAGGCAATTAGCATGGTGGTAGTATAATAGCTATATTCACCCACTAAATCAAAATATATTGGGGCTAACTCACTAATGACACACTTATACTTGTAGAGAAATATCAAGATAGTTTTGTCTGACGCATCAGATGACACTAATAAATATAAATACAAAGGGGTGATAAGTTAATCACCCGTGACACTAGCGTAAGGATATCGAGGTTACTAAGACTTCTTACCAGTCTATCTGCATAATTTGGTGTAAGTACAGAAATGTGGTAAACTATATATGTATGATTGTTGCAACATTATATATATAGTACACGCGTAGCTTGGTAGTTTACCACATTTCTGTACTTACACTAAATTATGCAGATAGACTGGTAAGAAGTCTTAGTAACCTCAATATCCTTACGCTAGTGTTAAGTATGTTAATAGTGCCATGTGTGGAAATTCATACAAGAGCTGCATAATTCAGTGGTCATTATGGCAAGTTCCAAAATTAAAGGAACACTCCAAACACCTAAAGCGCTTTAGCTTGTTGAAATATTTTAGGGTTTTTACCTTCTCTTATTTTATAAGAGGTCATGACTAGTGATGATCTCCTGAAGGCAGGGCTGAGCTGCAGTAAGAAGACAGTCTCTCCGCTAGATAAAAAGTAAATAACTTGTTTTTTTACACAAATAGGGGTGTATCCTAAATCTAAAATCATAAATAGAACCCTCTAATGTTCCAAATACATTTCTTAATGTTCCAAATGTGTGCCTAATTTGTTTGTTTTTCTCTTTTTTTCAGTTATTGCAGAAACAACAAAATCCTACAAGAAGAAAAATGAGCTAAGACAGAAGATTATGGATGCAGTTAAAGCAGTTGGAAACAATCACACAGATCGTGTGGTAAAGAAAAGGTACTTTGATGTTAAGAGGCAACTAAAAAGAAAGCTATCAAGGGCTCCTTTCCAAGCAAGAAGGATTGGAAGTAGCCACCCAAACCATGTGGATTTGGCCAACGGGGAGTTGCTTGAAACCCTAGGTCTAGAAGCAATAATGCGTGTAAAAGGAAGTGTTGATACTGACTTGCCTCTTGGTAAGTGTTTGTAATGTGATCTGTAATGTTTTATTTATTAATGTTTTACTAATATTGACCTGTAAAGCATTCCAGCAAGTGACTAAGTGCATGCAACTCTACTGAAGTTTAAAGAGGCTTTCTTAGTGAAAATATATTTTTGAAAGCAGTACAGGTGCTCCTCGTTTTGTGACCTACCTGTTTTACGACGGCTTGCACTTGCAACCAACTCTCTCGCGGGGTGGTAAGTGCGAGCCGTCGTGGGAATTAGAGGGATTCCCTGCTCTGCTGTGTTCTTCTATGTTCGGGAAATTTCCCGAGCATAGATTAGAGGGATTCCCTGCTCTTGTGCGTTTGTCTGTGTTTGGGGGAAATGTCCCTGAACACAGACATGCGCACCAGAGCAGCGAGTCCCTTAAATCTATGTTCGGGAAACTAGCTGGCTGGTTGAACTAGCCATATTTATACTCCTTTTGTAGGGTGCACTTTCCCCATTCTGAATATGCACAAAATGAGGCATGTAGGTTATTATTACAGGGACACTGTAGGCACCCAATCCACTACAGCTCATTGAAGTGGTCTGGGTGCTGTGTCCCTATTGCACTTAGTGCTGTTTACATTGTAGCTCTAAGTCTGCCCTCTGTGGCTATCTACCAGAAAGCCACTGGGGGCGCTTCCGGAATCCAAACAGACATTTGGTCCGTTATCTGACACTGGACGTCCTCACACTCTGCATAAGGACTTCCAGTGTCAGATTTTCCCCATAGGAAAGCATTGAGGGAGGGGGGACCTATTAAAGCTTTAGTACCAGGAAAACGGATTTGTTTTCCTGGCACTATAGGATCCCTTTAATGTTTCTTTTTGATATGACGCTGGCAGACAATGATCTCCTGACTGCTAATGGTTATTTAGCATATCAGAAGAATCCACTATCTAAGAGGAGATACAGGCATATGGTAGATTAGCCAGTTAGTTTACATTGAAGCTAGACTTAGAGGCTACTCATGTGTAACATTTCACACCTTGCAGGGGAGCTCTGGTTGGAATCACAGCTACAAAAGTGGAATTGATGTTGTAAACCTTCTGACATCTATCACATTCCTTTACAATTAAATAAACTCCTCTCATGCTGAAGATGACCATACCACCTCTGCCAGGTAGCTGATTCTTGTATGCTCTACACATATTACATTTAATGGCGATATTCTGTAGTGCGACAATGAATTATGCGCCCTGGTGTGACATTTCCTGCTGATACAGTAACCAGGAAATGTAGTAATTACATATTATACTTGCTTTATATTAGCTTATTACGGGTTATACCAGGAAGCACTGAATGAAGTAACACATATGTAACCCCTACAAAAAATATACATAATTTATGACTAAACCAAAGTGCTCACATTATATACGATTTTACTTTGTGAATAATGGGTCGGTGTAGACTTGTATGCATTATGTAGTGAAGGGTTAAGTAATTTCATTGTTTCTGTGATTCTCCCATTGCGTCTTATTTTTTTTATTATGTTTAATTGCATTTAGCTTCACAAGGACCTATATCCCCTGTACACCTTACTAAGGAAGAGCCTAGGACTTCAGAGTCTCCACAGTTTCAAGCTCCCGATCAATTGTCAGGTCCTGTCAGGAGCATTGGTGAGGATCCTTTTCCAGTTTTCTCTTGCACTTTTTTTTAAAGTAATCAAAATACTGTTCCAGCAATGGCCTGTGTTAACATTCTTATAATCAATCCTAAATAAAAACTTACCTTGTATGTGTTATTAAATTTTATGTTACAATCTAGCAGTGACTGCTAGCTAAATGCTTCATCCCTCATATCCTGGCATAATGCAATAGGTGTTTCAAGTTTAAAGACTACACTGAGCTTAAGAATAAACTGTTCTTCTGTGTTGTTGCATGCAGTTATGGTATAAGAGCTAGCCTTCAGACAAGTTTGTAAGTTTCCCTTAAAGGACCACTATAGTGTCACTATAGTGTCAGGAAAACAAACTCCTGCTTTCTCTGAAACTGCTATGTTTACAGCTGCAGGGTTAAAACCTGGGGGACCTGGCACCCAGACCACTTCATTGAGCTGAAGTGGTCTGGGTGACTATAGTGGCCTTTAACATAATATTACATCCCTGTTGTCTCTATGCATGTCTCAAAAATCATGAAGCTCTTATTTTCTGCCAATGAAAATAAGAGCTTCATGCTTTTATATATGTATCAATTTTTGTAGGTTCTTCTCTAATTAACATGTACGTTAATGACATTGCCCACTTATATGAGAGATCCTGTAATGAGGCACATATGAAAATAAAGGACCTGTGAGCCCGTGCACAGGTCCTACTGTACACACATACAAAAATATCCAAACTACGGCTTTGCTAATTTTGATTTTCTTTAGATTTTTAAAGGTTGTGTTTATTTAAACACTTGTTCCAAAGAGTAACCCAACATAAGGTAAATAAAGTTTGTCCTTCAAAATATACATTTTATTAATTATTTGTTTTATTAGATTCTACGAGATATGTTTTCAAATTGAGTCCATGTTCAGAAACCCATCAACTGGAAGAGGATGAGGAACCTTCTGGGTCTTTGCAAACAAGTACGTGTTTTACTTCCCTCTACTTCTCTTCTATATTATTCACTGCTGTAATCAACGATACAGCATTTACTGTGATGAAGACCAAGGAACTTTTACTTCTCTGGCAGTGACAGTCCTGTTTTAAGGGGACACTTTAGTCACCCAGGTCACTTCATCTCAATGTGCAGTGCAGTGTCCCTGTCTTTTTACGTTGTTTTACATTACATGATTAACGCCACCTCTACTGGCTGTCAGTCTGGCAGCCACTAGAGGCGCTTCTGCGACACACAGCCCCATAGAAAAGCATTGATTCAGTGCTTTCCTATGGGGAAGTTTGAATGCTCATCAAGTATTCATGTTCTGAAGCAAATACTTGTTTTCAGTACCATACCTAACAAAGGCCTTTTCAAATTATTTAATATTTTTTGGATGAACTTTTAAAATAATTTAATAATATGATTTTGTTTATGTGCTGTTTGATTTATTGAAATATGTTTTTTTATAGATTTTTTAATATTTGGATAAACTAGCTTTAAAAGCGTACCAAAAAATATTACATAATTTGAAAACCTTATCCAATCAAGGCATAAATGTTAAAGGGACACTGCAGATGCCAGAACCACTGTTAACGAATGGTAAAGCTCAATGTAGTGGTTCTGGGGTATGCAGCATGTACCTACAGGATCAGTAGTGTAAATGTTGCCTTTTCAGAGAAAAGGCAATGTTTACGCTGTTGCCTAGGTCTACCTCCAGTGGCTGTCATATGAATAGCCACTAGAGACTAGAGGTACTTCTTGTACATGGTCTTGCAATTTTTTAAGGACTTCTGTTCATTGTCTCCACACTTTGCATTGAGACACTGAACATTGCCAATGGGGATGTTGATGGGCGCAGCCCTGCGATTTGCCTTAGATGTTCACTAGGCTCTAAATGCTTTCCTTTGAAAGCACTTGATTGGCTGACATCTTTTCTCAGCCAAGAAAGTAGGACCAGCAGTGCAGATAGCTACAAGAAGAGTAAAACTTATGTTTTATCCTTTTTGGGAAGAGGGGAAACCTAAATAGGTAGCAGTACATATAGCATAAAGAATACATGTTTGTATTCCTAATGCTATAGTGTTCCTCTATTACAATATAAAGCCATGGACAATAATTTGGTAATGTAAATGTAGCCATGGTCCTTTCACCTCACCCTTACAGTCATAATATTTACTACATGTATGTATGCAGTTATATTTTACAAATTCGAAGTAGTCACGAAGTAGTCACGATTTTCTCTTATATATAAATAAAAAAAGCAAAGTGAATTTAAAAAAGTAGCAAGAATTAATAGAGGGACAAAAATTTTTTCTTTTATAAAACAAAACCTATATGGTAAAATAACCAGTTTAAATATTGACTTAATTTGCATGTTGAAAATGCCCACCTATTGCAGACTAAATTAGTTCTGCAGTCAAAACCTTTTTACGTATTCATTGCTACTTCTATGCTTTGCAAGGGAATGCACTGATTTGCTGAAATTGTTTAGCTGATTACTGATTCCTGCAGATTCCTGCAGAGTTGAGCAACATCTTTAGTTATTGCATGCAAAAATTGAACTTTGGAGATAATAATCATTATTATGTTTCTCAATGTGCATTGTTAATTATTTATCCGCACAAATCATTTCAACAACGAAAAATGGCGGGTTTGGGGTATGAGTTCAACTCTACTGTGGATTTATTCAGCTGCTTTGGAAAGATGAAAATGTGAAAATAATATACTATTATTCGATATATATATATATTTCAGCTATGCTTTCGGGTGACCAAGAAGAGATCATATCCATCATAGTGGGCTCAGAAGAAGTACCATCCACATCAGCGGGTATTTGTCCACAATCATCTGCTGTTTCTTCTTCATCATCTCCTTCCTCGGGTCATCTTGATGCCTCTGTAGCTGCCCTTGTGGATAAAACTACAGAACAACTTAATAAGATGTCAGATTTGATGTTGGCTCAAAGCCACACTTCAGCATCCCAGCATTCAGAGATCTTAGAAGTCTTACATGGTATTCGTAATGATTTAAATGAACTAAGACACCAAACTCAGATATCAAATGAAGTACAAAATCAGAAAAGACTAGATAACCGGTTATTCCGCAGTGAACTTTTGCAATTGAAAAGAGAAAAATTGGATATATTAAGAATGAAGTATGACCTTGAACCTCCAAATACATCTAGACCACTCAATGAACAACTTAAGGAAGAGACGTCAAGCAATGAAGAGGAATTTTCACCTCCTCAAATGAAAAAAATGTGTAAAGGAAAAGAAAGGTTCATTTTGTTTCTCTGAAAATCTGTTTTGCTTTTTTTGTACTATTTTTTTTTTAGTTTATTCCAAAAACCTCTGCTCAGATGTATCACCCTTCACCAATTTTACTGTTTTCTTTGTTTTAACAAAAATGTTAAAACATTTTTTGTTTTTTTGAAAAAAAAGTTTTTTTAAAAAATGTGAGTAGAGTTTTTGTTTAGTTATGTGTTTTTTTGTAGGTAAACACAATGTAACATTCAGTAATATAATTCAGATGAATTCCATTTAATTAATGTAGTATATACAGAAGAGGCTATATAAAGATTTAAGCAATACTTTGCGATGTACAGTATATATTTTTGTTTTATATGTAAATTCATAAGAATAAATAGTACAATATATAATTAAGCAATTTCAAGTAAAATCAATATTAAATATGTATATTTAAATCTCTATAACTAGTTTGCAAAAAGGTTGTATTTGCTGTTTATATTTGCATTTACAAGCAATGTAGACTTTGTACTTGATCTGATTAACAGGTTCACATTATCTTTAAACCCTTTCGTTTAATAGACAAAATGTATCGAATGTAAAACAAAAAAGGGCAAATACTTTTTTTTTTTCTTTTTCCAAACTAAACTAGGAAAAGAAGAAAAAAATTATATTAATATATCAGGGAAGGATGTGAGTTTGAAATAACCTGCTTCCAAGAGAGGAACCCCGGACGGTGTCGGCTCCACTGGATGTCTGGTGGCCGCAGGGTGCAAGGGAAGATAAATTATACTTACCAGAACCTGTCACCCGCAGCAAAGGCCATGGTCCTCCTGCCGATTCAGTTTCTGGTGATTCAACTGCCAGGAACCTATGTCAATGTTATACTCTCGTACACTGAGGTCTGTAAAGAATCCTGCGAGACCATGGGGTCCTACATAGACAAAGCCTTTTTCCCTACAGCTGTCACTAAGTATTGCTGGGGAAATGACAAAATTTGACAAAGGTAGTTCTGCCTTTTGTCATGTTTTGTTAATTGTAGGAAAAATACTGATGTGAATTAGCCCCTACATTGTCATTGTATTTTTTTACATTGTTGGAGTTTTAGTGATATTCCAACACAGTCAATGAGTATCTTATAGAGATTTTATCTTTACTTCCAAAGAGGAATCTTGGCACACAAGACGCTGTGCAAACAGTTTATAATGGAACCATGTCACAAGATTTGTGCAGTTCTCTTTTGGTTAAATTTTTTTATCTATCAGAAATACTTATTGGGAAGGGGGAGGAGGGGAAGTGCCGTTTTAACCCCTTCATGACAGATGACATGGGTTAAAATCTGTTAGAGATATAATATTTGCATTAGCAAGATTTATATGTTGTTTTAGACGAGGGGTTCTCAACCCAGTCCTCAAGGACCCCCTACCAGTCCAGGATTTAGGGATTAACTGGGTGTGTCTAAGGTGTTTAGAAAAAAAAAACACCTTAGATTCTACCGTGTGCTCCCTTACTGGCCTAATGCAGCCTTCTGTGCCAAGAAGGGTCCAGAGACACTGTAGTCTGCACCCACAGACATTCAGAGCATTGGTGCAGGTTCCTGCGGTGATATTCTGAAACCACACAATGCCAGAGTTCTGGAGTACAGCATATTTACTCTTCACCTGGCAGGTGTGCAAGCTAAAGTCCGAAACTACCACAGTTTGTCATGTTCCTCCATCCCTGGCCAAAGGTAAGAAGTGTTGAAGGGGAATAAACTGAAATAAAACAAAAAATAAGTTACATCAAAGTTAAATACAACTGCTTTCCTCTCACCACCCCACAAATACACGCACACACTGCATCCCCTACACACACATTTTTTAAACACACACTACATCCCCTATATCTATATCTTTACATGTAATCTTTCACACTTCATCCTTCAAGAGGGCATGTTAATTGAAGTGACAACAGCTTTCCCTTCCCACACCTCACTCACCAACCTTATGTCCTCTCCTGCAATTATGTCATTTAGAAAAAAACTTAGCAATCATTATAAACTCTTCTAGAAAACCCACTTTACCATTACATGAAATACATTTTTCCCTTAACTCTTGTGTCATTTTACTCCACACCCCTTATGTGAGCTTATTTGAGCAGGGTCCTAGGCACTGTTTCCGTACATCAAACTTGTCTTGATGCAGATGCTTGTTTTTTAGTCTACCTACCAACCGTACAGCCAATAAAATTTATTGGCGTTTTATAAATAATAATAAGCTGAAGTTTACCATAATTACAGTACTGGTTGTGCCATTTTATTTTTCCTTCTAAATTTCTAGTTTAAATATATATGTATGCATCTTATATTCAAAAAGTATGGTAACTTAATGCACCCTAATATACTGCTTTTTAAACCATTCCCTGTGCGTGTTGCATGTTTATAATGTCTGAACAGCAAACTTCCACTGGGGACTTGCTGCTCAGCCAGCTCATTCAGCTGTGAAGTTGTGTTGGAAAATGTTGTTCTGCATGGATAAAAGGTCCCACATCCTTCCATACAGCATTCAGTTGAGAAGCCACAAAATAGTAAAAGATGGGAGGGAGATTGATGCTGCCATAAAAATAACCAGGAATAGAAAATTACAGTAAATATGACATAAATTATCTTTATTCCTGGCTAATCGTAGCAGCATCACTCGTGTAATACCATGCATAACAACCAATCAGGAAGGGAAAAAATGACTCAATACAAACTTATGAAAGTGAGAACAAATTTTATTAAAGTGAGGATTAGAAGAAAGAACTTATTTGCCAAAGAAAGTAAAGGGAGAGGCCAGGTCCAATTTGTAATGCTTAATAAAAGTCATAGGGGAAGACCAGGTGGCTGCCTTACAAATGTCATCAGGAGGCACGTCTGCCCAAGATGTAGATAAGGACCTCGTGGAAATGAGCCTTAATTTTTTTAGGAGGAGTCAGTTGACTGAATATAAGCCTCAGAGATAACTACAGAAATCCAACTTAGAATGGCCAGACTTAACATAACTAAACAACAAGAATCAGGATCAAGAATAAATCAAGGACAGGAATACTCAGAGTCAAGACAAAGCCGCGGTCAGGATACCAGAAATCTCAAGTCAAATTGGAAGCCGAGGTCAAGAGTTCCCTTGACTCTGCTGTTCATTTTTGTGGTATTTTTGTTCCCTTTGACTTAGGCTTGTTAGACTTTTCTGTTTTTTCATTGGTTTTGAAAATATGACTGAACATGCCAAAATATGGATTTTATTGTGATAGTGAGCATATGAAGCTATTTATTATCACATAGATGTATGGCTCCTTTTTAAATTATAATAATAACAGAAATCACCCAAATGTCCCTGAATAAAAGTTTACATACGTTTAAATGTTTGGCCATGTTACAAACACGCAAGGTGACACACACAGGTTAAAATGGCAATTAAAGGTTAATTTCCCATGCCTATGGCTTTTTAAATTGCAATTAGTGTCTGTGTATAAATAGTCAATAAATGTGTTAGCTCTCACGTGGATGCACTCAGCAGGCTAGATACTGAGCCATGGGGAGCAGAAAAGAACTGTCAAAAGACTTGCTTAACAAGGTAATGGAACTTTATAAAAATGGGAAAGGATGTAAAAAGATATCCATAGCCTTGAAAAAAAAACAAGTAAGTACTGTTCAATCACTTATTAAGAAGTGGAAAATTCAGGGATCTCTTCATACCAAGCCAAGGTTAGGTAGACCAAGAAAGATTTCAACCACAACTGCCAGAAGAATTGTTCAGGATACAAAGAAAACCTCAGGAGAAATACAGGCTGCACTGGAAAAAAGACAGTGTGGTTGTTTCAAGGAGCATAATACGACCATACTTGAACAAAAATGAGCTGAATGGTCGAGTTGCCAGAAAGAAGCCTTTTACTGCTCCAATGCCACAAAAAAGCCTAGTTACAATATGCCCGACAACACCTTGACACGCTTCACAGCTTCTGGCACACTGTAATTTGGAGTGATGAGCCCAAAATAGAGCTTTATGGTCACAACTATAAGTGCTATGTTTGGAGAGGGATCAACAAGACCTTTAGTGAAAAGAATCCCATCCCCATTGTGAAGCAAGGTGGTGGCTCACTGATGTTTTGGGGGAGAGGGGTTGAGCTCTAAAGGCACAGGGAATCGTGTGAAAATTGATGGCAAGATGAATGCAGCATGTTATCAGAAAATACTGGCAGACAATTTGAATTCTTCTGCACGAAGGCTGTGCCTAGGGCTCTTGGACTCTCCAGCATGACAATGACCCTAAGCACAAGGCCAAGATTACCCTCTAGTGGTTACAGCATAAAAAGGTGAAGGCTCTGCAGTGGCCATCACAGTCTTAATGTCATTGAGCCACTCTGGGGAGATCTCAAACGTGCGGTTCATGCAAGACGATCAAAGACTTTGCGTGACCTGGAGGCATTTTGACAAGACGAATGGGCAGCAATACCACCTGCAAGAATTATGGGCCTCATAAACAACTGTTACAAAAGACTGCTCTCTGTTATTGATGGTAAATGGGGCGATACACAGTATTAAGAACTTAGGCTATGCAGACTTTTGAACAGGGGTCATATTTTTTGCTTTGTTTCCATGTTTTGTTTTATGATTGTGCCATTCTGTTATAACCTATAGTTAAATATGAATCCCATAAGAAATAAAATAATGTGTTTTGCCTGCTCAGTCATGTTTTCTTTAAAAATGGTACATATATGATCAATTCTCCAAGGGTATGCAAACTTTTGAGCACAACTGTATATACCTATTAGACTGGCCAATCTAAGCTTAGGTATTTTCTATTACTTTTAGGAGGGTTATTATTCTGTGTGTTGGGATACTTAACATGACAGGCTGCGAATGCTCTCTTGTCTGTTTTTATAAGGATCCAGGGTGATTCTGTCATGTGAACGAATTCCTTCAGGTCATTCATAATAGCTCTTAATTCTCTCAGGTTTGAATGAAGTTTTCTTTTCAAAAAAGACCATGTGTCAGGGCTCCATCTTGATCTCAGATGTGCACTGTATCCATGGAGACTGGTGTCTGTTGTAACAGTTTGCCATGGAGGTTCTAGAGGAAATTCTTGTGAGAGATTTTTCTGTCTGAGCCACCACTTCAATTGAGTTTTGATATGTAGAGGAATTTATATGTGTTGGGTCCAGTTGCTTTTCCTTTTGGATATGTCTGGAACTCCACTGAGCCCAGCGGATGAGATCTATTGTGGAGGTGACTCCTGGTCGACATTGATGACCTTTGTAGAATAGAGTGGACCTTGTTTTTTATCCTGATTATTCTTTCTGGAAATATTTGTTTTATTGTGTCTGTGGAGGCACACAGAAAGATGGTGTTGTGAGATGGTGTTTGTAGCGGAGCTCACTGTACCCTGGCTAGGTATGTCTGCCAAGGATCGCTTCCTAGCTGAAACCGGGGAAAACCTCAGTTCTTCTGCCCCAGTCGCCATTGGCTTGACTGGGGTCCTCTGGAGCCTCTCTATCCTGCAACAGGGTAGGGGACTATCTTTATTCCCTTGCAGGGACTTGACAACACACAGTCCTGGGAGCTGTAGTCCTTACAAGGACTTTCCCGCTGAATCCTCCATGAGCTGGAACAACGGTGATTAGCCCTTTCCCCTCCCAGTAACTAGATGACATATAGTTCTGAGAGTACAACTGATTTTAATTAGCCAAACTCTGCCTTTTATGCACAGGCCCCAGCATTGTATTCAAGCCCATCCAAGGAATCTCTGGACCTGGGACATAATTGAGTTAAAGACTGGTAAGCTAATTATCTCCCAGGAACAGCCCAACACAAAATATAAAAACATAAAAGTTCCCCAAAACATCATAAAAATATACAGTTACCCCACATATCATACATCCCCTGACATAAATCCTTAATCTGAGCGCCCAAGTTCTCCAAATAGCGATCAGATCAATGCAGTGTAGGAGAAACGCCACCGTGTTAAAGTTCTGACCGGCTACACACATGGTCCTATGCCCAAAATAGTTCCAGGCTGTTTGGTGCTTTTTCCAGTCAACGTATGGGAGCTCCTGCATCAGAAATATTGGGTGCTCCACCTGGCTTTCAGGTAGCGTTTAGTCCCCTTAGTCTCAGGCACCTTCCCTCCTGGCAGGTTTCAAAATAGTTTAAAACCGCGCGGTCACCTCATGCCTAAAACAGTTCTATAACATTTGCGGTTACGTACCGCTTAGGTGACCGGGACCCACAAAGTCCTCATGCCAAAATTAGTTCCATAGCGGACGCGGCTAAGTACCGTGTTAAAGTTCTGGCTAGGGTCCTATGCCCAAAATAGTTCCATGTTTGGTGCTTTTTCCAGTCAACGTATGGGAGCTCCTGCATCAGGCTCCACCTGGCTTTCAGGTAGCGTTTAGTCCCCTTAGTCTCAGGCACCTTCCCTCCTGGCATTTAGTTTAAAACCGCGCGGTCACCTCATGCCTAAAACAGTTCTATAACATTTGCGGTTACGTACCGCTTAGGTGACCGGGACCCACAAAGTCCTCATGCCAAAATTAGTTCCATAGCGGACGCGGCTAAGTACCGCTGAGGACCATTCATGTGTTCATGTAAATGGCCGGCAGGGCGATGGCATTCATTTCCATTCGAATGAAGGGAAAGTGCTCTGGTAAAGCTGTAAATGGCGGCTGGGCAGGGTAACTCCCAAACGGTGCCTCAGACCTGGACCACAGTCGGTGGACAGGAGGCCGTGGCAAACGTTTGTGGGAAGGAGCGTTTGTCACAGTATTAATGAACTCTTATCCAGATTGATGACCCAGCTATATTCTTGAAGGCATGTTCTGGCTAATTCAGTGTGGAGAATAGCTGTCTTTTGAGTAGAGGCAATACTCAGGATGTTGTCCAGATAGTGAAAGATTCTTATTCATTGCCTCAAAAAATGCTCTCCTGGTGGGTTTCATAATAGTTCAAAACCCCGGACCAAGTTGACCAGGAACTGCACGGTCACCTCATGCCTAAAACAGTTCCATAACATTTGCAGTTAAGTACCGCTTAGGTGACCGGGACCCACAAAGTCTTCATGCCAAAATTAGTTCCATAGCGGCCGCAGCTAAGTACTGCTGAGGACCATTCATGGGTTTGGTTCATGTAAACGGCGGGCATGGCGCTGGCATTTGTTTCCATTTGAATGAAGGGAAAATGCCGAACCAAGGGCACCCAGGGAAAGCTGTAAATGGCGGCTGGGCAGGGTAACTACCGAACGGTGCTTCAGACCTGGACCACAGTCGGTGGGCAGGAGGCCGTGGCAAACGTTTGTGGGAAGGAGCGTTTGTCACAGTTGTAATGAACTCTTATCCATATTGTTGACCCAGCTACATTCTATTCTTGAAGGCAGGTTTTGGCTAATTCAGTGTGGAGAATAGCTGTCTTTTGAGTAGAGGCAATACTGAGGATGTTGTCCAGTGAAAGATTCTTATTCCTTGTTGTCACAGGAAGGCAATGAGGGTTGTAAGGATTTTGGAAAATGTCCTGGGGGCAAGACTCACACCAAAAGGTAGGCCTCTGAATTGAAAATGGTTGTTTAAAATGAAGACGTGCAGGAACTTGTAGTATAGGCTGTGGATTGAGATCTGATAGAAAGCATCTTTTAGATCTATTGAAGTTAACTAGTCCCTTGGTTTCATTGAAGGTAAAATTGAAAACATGGATTCCGTTTTGAAGGAAAGAATCCTTGGCACCGTTTCCCATTTGGCATTGGTGCCAAGAAAACTATAGAATAGAGACCTCTGAAGTTTTCTGGTTGTGAAACCTTTTCTATTATGCCCTGATTGAGAAGGCTAGAGAGGCAGTTTTACATGACTATGTTTTTTTCTCCTTTTGAGATGCTTGATTGTTTGAAGATATTCTTTGTGGTGAAGGTGTCGAATTCCAATTTGTAACCTGTTTCAAGGAAGGATAGAACCCAGATGTCAGAAATAAGTGAAGGAGCCTTCCTTCTATTAGTTCTGGCTGGACCAACACAGAATTTAGATTTTTTTTGACAAGGAGCCTTCCTTTGGCAGGTTTTGAAGTAGTAGATGCAGATTGGTAGTTTCTCTGTGAGGAATTCCTAGAGAATTCCTTACCTGGATGATAGGATCTACTTTTGCAAAAGCACCTATCACAAAATCTTTTCTCTCTCAATAAAGGATTGGCGTTTCTTTTTCCCTGAGGAAGAAAGGTTTTTCTGTATTCGGCTGCTTTGTGGATAGCTTCATACAGGATTTTCCAGAAAAACAGATCACCATCAAAAGGCAGAAAGCGCAAGGAGGCTGCTTCCCATGAGTGAATACAAAGATCCTTCCTAGAGGCCACGGATAAAGTCATGCTTTTGGCAAACATCTTTGTAATATCCAAGGAAATTTCCATGCCAAAATCAATAGCTAACTTGAAACCTTTAAGACTTTCAACCAGATGTTCTCTTCTCACTCCTCTGGAAATGTCGTCTTCTAGGTTCTCTTCCCAGACTTTGAAAGCACTAATTAGGATGGTATTGGCTATTGCTGGATGAAGGGCAGAACCTAGGGATAAATATGCTTTGATTAAATTGGCGTCTAGGGAAGCCATGGAGTCAATTGGTAAAGTAGTGAGTTTTACTATTTTGATCACAATGTCATCAATTTTTGGAGCAGAGGACCAGACTTTGCAATCATTGGGAGCAAAGGGGTAAACTCTTGGTGCTTTATTCTTCAGGGTGACTTTTTTCTCCGGTCTGTTCGTTAATCAACTCTTTGATGACTGAATGGACTGAGAAGGCAAGTCGTGAAGATCTGTCTGATTCTAGGGAGTCCATTTTCTCTTCCGGAACCTTCAAGGTCTCTCTAATTAGATATTTGCTTCTATCCAGGGATTTATAATGAGGGTCACTATTTTCATCTTCAGACCTTCAACATAATATAATTCATAGTCTGATGAAGAGGAAAGGTTATCTACCTTAGGCAGTTTAGATGGGACCAGCTTTGCTGAAGTAGCTTTGAAAACTGTGATATTAATGCATCTGTTTTATTTTTCATTGTGTTTTCTGTGAGATTTCTCATGACTGTTACTTGGGCTGCAAGGAAAAGGCCATACATTAATATGATGCGGCTCATTTGGCACTCTTTTATGTCACCAATTGAAAGATTTGCGTTACCAATGCTTTTATGTTATTAGGGAAATGATGAGAGGCAGAGGGAGAATTCATTTAGAACTAAATAAAATAAGGAGATATTGAAACAGGAACGAGGAATGCAAAATAAAACTTGGCAATACGATTCAGGGAGAATAATTAGTCTGGGTAATATAGAGAAGAGTTTGGCAGCCTTTGGATAAGCATCCCAACCATTTTTTGGTCCAGGGTACCAGGAAACTGCAAGAAATCATGGCCCCTGGAAATGAGAAGCACCCCCTTTAAGGCCACAAACAGCATACGCAGTGCGTGCCAACAGACCCTGAAAATGATTGCGCCAAATTCGACTGACCGAGGGTAGAAATTCAGTCGTGATCCTCGGTGCCATGATACTGAAGAGATGAGGACACACTACAGGCATGCATAGCCCAAGTCTGATAGAAAAAGAATCAGAGATTAAAGGAGAGAGCCTGGAACAGAAGAACGGAATGGGAGGCACCTTGTAGCTTGGAGGAGAGATAAGTACAGTAATAGGTAAAAGAAGAACCTAGAATGAAAAATAGGAACAAGTGCTCAAATGTACTTACTTCTCCCAAATATGCCGCACATAGTAAGGAGGTCAGAAAGAGGAGCCAAGCCAATCCTCAGCATATATAAATATATATAAATATAGGCATAAAGGTTCAGTATTGCTATTCCTAATCTGACCCAGTTAGACATGTGTAGGTGGCCAAAAAAAAAAAATGTTATAACTTCTGTCTGTCACGACGTGCCAGCAGAGGCAGGTTTGCCGTACATGCTCACCCGGCACTGACTGTGTCCCCACAGTGAGGTGCACGTGATATGTGTATTTATATGATATTTGTAGTGCTGTGCTTGCTTTTAAGCAGGCATGATGTCATCAGCTGGGCCGAGTTTGCAGGTACATTATAAAATGGACAGTTGACAGTTATCTTTTGCACAGTTGGAGTCAGTTAATAAAAGTACTAGTTACATACAGACGTGGATACATAACATTTGGCAACAAAGATTCAACCATGAATTCACACAATAATGGCTTTATTGGGATCATTGAAATAGTTTGACCCTGAAACAGATGGGTTTAATGGGCTGAAAGATTAGAGCCGTATTTACCTGCTAATGACAGGGGAGATACTAAGTCTGTTGCTGTCTGTCTCACAACTCTTGGTGCTAGAACATATGAGATTCTGAAAGACCTGATATATCCAGGGAAACCAGTCAACAAGTCTTTGGCTGAAATTAAAAAACAAACTTTTAACACAACATTTTCAACCGAGGCCATTAGAAATTACTGAGCATTTCAAGTTTTTTCGTCAACACCAAGGGACGCATGAGACTGTATCTGTGTTTGCACTTGGCTTGAAGAAATCTAGCTCCAGTTGTTTTTGAGATTACATGAATAACAGTTTGTTATTGGTATGGGGTATCAGGGCCGCCACCAGATATTTTGGGGCCCCTAACTCAGCTCAGGGTCTGGGCCCCCTGGGGCCCACCTCCAATCCCGCCCACAGGGTCCGCCTCCAAATCCCGTCCACAGGAATACACAAACAGACACAAAAACACACACTGATACAAAAGGACACAGATACACACACACACAAAGATACATACTAACAGACACACATACTGAAACAGACATACACACATATAGGCATACGTGCTGACACACATACTGAGACATACACACATATACAGACACACAGGCATACATAGTGACAGATAGACACATACTAACATACATACAGACACACATGCAGAGGACATACACATACATACACCGACATACATACACACAGACATACATTCATTCATACTGGCATATATATATATATATATATATATATATATATATATACTTACATACAGACACTGTCATCCATACACACATACATACACAGACATACATTCATACTGGCATACACGCATATATACAGACATACATACATATATACATCCATACACACAGACATACATTCATACATGCATAGATACAGACATACATACATAATGACAGGGGTCCTCAAACATTTTAAACAAGGGGCCAGTTCACGGTCCCTCAGGCACTGTTGGGGGCCGGACAATAAACAATATTAACAAATTCCTATGCACACTGCACACACAGGCATAAGGATATAAATACACACACACATACTGACATACATAAATATATAAACAGACAGACACAGACATATACATACATATTGAAATACATACAGATACATACACACAGAAAGACATGCATACATACACACATACATACACACATACATACAGACATACAGACATTCTGACATACATACAGACAGACATACATACAGACATTCTGACATACATACAGACACACATACATACATACAGACAGAAACACATACATACAGACAGAAACACATACATACAGACAGACACACATACATACATACATTCTGACATACATACATACAGACATTCTGACATACATACAGACATACTGACATACAGACACACATACATACCTACAGACATAGACACATACTAACATACACAAATACAGCTAATTTAATTTTTCTTACTTTTTTTTTTGCAGGTGGAAGGCTGTGGCTCATGGGAGTCGGCGTGGCTCCCGGAGCCTGGCTTTCTTCCCTCCCGCGCGGAGGGGAGGGAGCTGGGAGGAAGTGACGGCCACTTCCTTGCAGCAGTACTTTGCGGCTGAGATTTTTTTTTAAAGGGGCCCGGTCGCGCTATTGCACGGCTGCAGCGCTGACTGAGCCCCTGAAGATATAGGGCCCATCGGGCATATTGTGCATGTGTTTGGAGCCTGCTTGTGGGATTGCGTGTGTGTAGAGTGTGGTGTGGTATTGTGTAAATAGGTTGATTTCATTTGTGTTTGTGGTGTAATATGTGTGGCTATCGGATGTAGCGAGTGTGTGCTTACGGGCTGTAGTGTGTGTGTGTGTGTGTGTGTAGGTGACGTAGTGTGTGTAGGGGTTGTAGAGGGTGTGTGTGTTTGCTTACAAGGAATGTAGTGTGTGCAAAGGGGATCCAGAGTTTGTATGTCAGGATTGTAGTGTGTGTAGGTGGTGCAGTGTGTGTAGGGGATCTAGCGTGTATAGGAGAGTGTGTGTGTAGAGGATTAAGAGTGTATATAGGGTAAGGGATCTAGCGGGTATCTGGACCGTAATGTGTGTAGTGGTGCAGTGTGAGGGGTGCTGTAGTATATATATATATATATATATGTATATATATATTTGGACATATTGTATGTGTGAGGGGCGCAGTGTGTTGGGTGTGCTGTGTTTATGTGTGAAGGGTTCAGTGTGTATGTAAGAGGGGTGCTGTGTGTGTATAAGAGGAGTGCAGTGTGTTGAGGGTGTTCTTATCTGCCGTCACATTCTATGTTTCTAATATTCTTTGTATGTCAGGATTGTAGTGTGTGTAGGTGGTGCAGTGTGTGTAGGGGATCTAGCGTGTATAGGAGAGTGTGTGTGTAGAGGATTAAGAGTGTATATAGGGTAAGGGATCTAGCGGGTATCTGGACCGTAATGTGTGTAGTGGTGCAGTGTGAGGGGTGCTGTAGTATATATATATATATATATATATATATATATGTATATATATATTTGGACATATTGTATGTGTGAGGGGCGCAGTGTGTTGGGTGTGCTGTGTTTATGTGTGAAGGGTTCAGTGTGTATGTAAGAGGGGTGCTGTGTGTGTATAAGAGGAGTGCAGTGTGTTGAGGGTGTTCTTATCTGCCGTCACATTCTATGTTTCTAATATTCTTTGTCTGTTAACTCACTGAGGGTTATTTTATATAATACATATATATATATATATATATGTGTGTGTGTGTGAATGTGTGCTGTATATGTGTGAATGTGTGCTGTGTGTGTCTGAGCGTGCCGTCTGTGTCTGAGGGCGCCGTCTGAGCGTACCGTCTGTGTCTGAGCGTGCTGTCTGTTTCTGAGGGAGCTGTTAGTGTGAGTATTTTTATCTAAATTTATTAATAAAAAAAAAAAAAAGTTTCTGCTATGGAGGGGGGAGCCGTGCTGCCATGGAGAAGGGAGCTGTGCTGCCATCCCTGGTGGTCTCAGTGGTGAGAGTGAACTCTAGCCTGCAAGGCTAGAGTTCACTCTCGCGAGATCTGAGCGTTCCCATGTTAACCGCAGCAACGCTCCGACCTCGCTAGAGCTCCACCAGATCCTCTCCCTTCCCATTTATCTCCCCAGTGGCCCACGAAAGCACACAGCAGTGCCGGCGCTTGGATCTCCCCTGCCGGCCTCGGTCCATGCCTATCGCGGCCCACCGGGCATTTGCGGGTATGCCTGATGGCCAGTCCAGGCCTGGGGTCCGGTGACCAGAGAGTGGTACAGGCAAAAGTAAGTTCTACTTATAGGACTGTAAGCCTTAAGATCTATAGAGGATCCTGCAAGACTGCAGGATCCTTTATAGATTGATATAGAAATTTATTATGGATAAAATCATCCAAGAGATAACCAGAGGCTCCTAATTAGATGTTCGAGCGCACGGGAGAACCGATAATAAAACCACAGACTCACTTGGTTGTAGCTTGAATATCATCTCAGCTTTAATTGGAAGAGCATTGCATATTTATTATAGCATTAGTCTACTGCGCATGTGTACATGAAAACAGGCAACAATTACTTACTTGAGAAAGTGTTATCTAAGCTTTGCTATAATACCAAGGTTAAAACAAAAGTAACATTTCATGGTTTCATAGAAAGGAATGTACTGCAAAGACTGCTGATGGAAGCAGGAGTGAAGAAATTAACTTTTAACCCTTTCAAACGTTAAAGGACTTAAGTAAGGCAAAGGTTTTAACCCTTTATTTACCTTTTTCTATGACAATTCCCCTCTTCTGGCGCCACAGGTGAGAGTTCTAGGCATGGAATATCCAGGTATACTAGTTATACCTATGGGACTTTAATTAGATCTTCACCTCGGTTCCCTTGCCATCTTACACCAAAGGAGCCATCAAAGAAGACTTGTCCAGATATCTGTGGGTTACAGGATAATGTGTTATTAAATCCGCGTCTCATTTTGCAATACATCCATAGGTTAAAACAGGTAAGAAGAAAGAAAAGACATATCACAACAATTAGTGGGTGCAGTGCTATGTTTAAGACTCCTTTAGTGGAGGAAGACCACCCAGTAAAAATATCATATCAGTGATGTCCTGTATCTGCCACTATCTTGTTACCCATGCTGTGTAGTTTATTATAAACTTTTTTTGTCTTACCATAAACTTGCCTTTGTACTTGTGCTGCAGTATGTTTGTGTTTATCTTACCAATATAGAAATTAATGTGTAATTAATTGCCACGGTTATCAATATATGTCTTTGATACCTGCGTGAAAGAGATCATCCAACTGAGAGCCAAACAGCCTACGTTGTTTGAATAGCATGTCACATTAGGAGTGTTTGGAAGCCGAGTCTGCTAACCAGCCTCTCTGCCAGACAGCCCTTCTTGCCAATGTAGAATATCCCATATATTTGGCCAAAGGTTTGAAGGTTTTTGAAGTGGAATCTGCCAGGAAATCAGATGCCATTTCGATATTTTGAAGAATCTTGACAGGATCTTATTTATATTTACACGGATATACCTTTTCCAGAGAATCAAACCAAGAAAGTTGTTCCTAAGTTCAACAGAAGATCTTGTAATTAGGGTTTTACTATGTGCTGCATTATAAAGGTTTTCCTCAATGTAGTTTCTGCTTTTTTTGTCCATGGCATCTTGCAACCCACTTGATTCTCCAGTAGGTGCAATGGGAACATCAACCTTTAGGAGCTCTTTTTTTACGGTTTTCTTCTTTAATAGAAAATATGGTTATTAAGTGTTTGGTAATAAATGCCTTCTTGGATGGAAATCTTCATTCTCTAAACATGAGATCTTTAAGCTTAGGGTGAAACAAAAAAGTATTTCATCTCTGTGTTTGCTTAGATCTGCATTATCTCCCATAGACAGAAACGTCTTTAATAAGTTTATGTAAGTATACATCGAGAAAGGCAATATCCTTATCAGATGAAGCATGTGGAAGACTCGGAACTGGGGTCTGAAAATTCTTCCTGCTTACGCTTTTTAATTTTCTCTGGGGGTCTTACATCCCAGAAGACTAGGTTGCTTGAATAACTGCTTCTCTAATATCACAGGTGGTTTGTTGGAGACTGACTGTATTGGAACCAAGTCAGGAAAGAGGAGACTTCTGCGGCCTCTATACAACAGAGATTAAAATGTTTTATAACCTGGTATTTATATCTGGTATGGGTTGATTGTAGCATGCACAGACAAGATGTTTGGACTTGGAAAAACATTACCCTTTCTCCACAGGCTTCTCTGGCTTTGAGGATTAGGACAAATGAGGGGGGGTGGGGGGGAATAGTCTAACTTTGTTAGGCTTCTGGGTGTGCTAAGTGCATGGTGAGAGCACACAAATTTGCTCTGTAGCACGCCGTAAATGCCAGGTAGAATACATCACAGCGTTCACACACTCCACAGACTGGGCAGAAGTAGGCCCATATGCTGAGCTGCTCTCAGGGACAAGTGGAGCCTTCCCCAACTACAGCCACCTCGCCTGTAAAGCCAAAGAAAAAAAACAAACAAACCTCACTCACAATGCCAAAGGAAGGCAGACAACGGGGACATTCCTGTGTTTTGGGGCTTTTATAGTATTGAAGGAGGATACAGAGGGGCTTAACCGTCTTAAAATTGTTGTTGTTGGTTTTTTTTTTAATACAGTTCTGCCTGCCTTTTCTGCTGCAAGAAATGGTGACATCCCTATTGTACCTGGAGGTAATACAAATTCTGTAAATTAACTGTTTCCTCTCCTCTAGCCTTAAATTTGAAATCCTCTTAGAATTCACTTTGTATTTTCTCTTTAGTAAATAACAGTGATAGAAAAACCATTAAGGAGGAGGTATGGATTTTGTGTGGTGGCTTCAAAACAAGAAGATAAATAGTGAGCTGTGTTTTGAAGTTTCAGTTACTTTGTAAGTTATGTCCTACTGGTGTCACATAAAGTATGGCTAGGTGGAATGGTTTTGATCTGTTTTTTTGCTCATACACAAGCTCAAAATGTACATACATCATGTGTCAGCAATTGCTTCTGTGTGTAATGTGTAAGCAATTACACTTGAGAAATAAAAAGGGACAGGGAGATTGTATACATGTAATATATAATAATGTAAGAACTTCAACTCAGCCTGCACCAAAGCCAAACTAATGTACTTCTTTGGATGTCCTTAATAAATGCGTGATTCCTGTAGTTAAAGTACAAATTAATGTGTGTAATTTAGGGAGCACATACCACTAATTTTACCTAACCATGAAAGGAACTTTTCTTCCCCATAAATGCATCTGATATTTCCATACAGGACTTAATTCAGGAAAGCTAACAGAAGCTTCAATGTAGGAGCTTCTAATTATGCCTATGGTAGCAGAGGCAGGAAGCATCACCCAGGTTGGAAGTAAAATAGAGAAAATGTATAACAAACTTACCGTAATTTTCTTTTCCTGGCTATTTCTCATGGCAGCATCACTTATGGGTAGCTCCTCCCTTTGCAGTCACAGGACAGGAATTAATTAGATTAGACTGATGGGTATAAAGAGTCCCTCCTCCCCTTACACCTCAGTCCAATTATAAAGCTGAAAAATAAAAGAATATGCGGGAACCCTGATGCTGCCATGAGAAATAGCGAGGAAAAGAAAATTACGGTAAGTTTGTTATAAATTCTCTCTATTCCTGGCTAATCATGGCAGCATCACTTATGGGTAATACCCAAGCTCACAAAATTATAGGGTGGGAATAATAAACCGAGAAAAGACATTGAACAGACTCTTATGCTGCAAAGAAATTTAATCTAAATGGGATAAAGAAACCGTAGACATGACACTCTTCCCAAAGGAGGTGGACATCCAGTTTGTAGTGTTTCAAGAATGTCATAGGGGAAGACCAAGTGGGTGCCCTGCAAATATCATCGTATGGAACCTCTGCCCAATTAGCCCATGAAGTCGACAATGCTCTAATAGAATGAGTTCTTATCTGCATTGGAGGGGATCGACCTTTAGAGATATATGCTCTCCTGATTACCAGTGAAATTCAACGTTTTAATGTAGAGAAAGAAGCCGCCTCACCTCTCCTGACAGTAAAACGTAGAGTTGGTCAGTTTTTCGGTATGACTCAGACCACTTAAGGTACATAGACAGGCAGTTCATGACATCCAAACATTGCCATCTAACCTCCTCTGGCGAAGAAGGATTGGGGTAGAACGATGGAAGGACCACTTCTTGAGAGAGATGAAACTGAGAGATTACCTTAAGAAGAAACTCAGATTTCGGTTTCAGACACCCTATCCTGATAGAATTGTAGACAAGAAGATAAGGTAGAAAATGCTTTAATCTCCGAAATTCTTCTTGTAGAAGTAATTGCCACCGAAAACAAAGTTTTATACGTAAGGAGGGTTGCATCCAAACTCTCCAGAGGAACAGATCCTCAGTTGGGTAATTGAGCACCAGAGGAAGGTCCCAAGGAGGGGTAGTAGATCTGGAAGGAGGTCTCAACCTGAAAGCTGCCTTGAAGAACCTGGAGATCAAAGGATCCGAAGTCCATGAGATGTTGCACAAAGCTGAACGCGCCGAAGAGTGCTGAGGCTAAGGCCCTTATCCAGACCCTCTTGCAGGAACTCCAAGATTTCAGTATTGTGAGAATGCAGGAAATCAACATTTTTGGCCGAAGCCCAATCCCGGAACACATCCCAGATCCTATGGTAGCATGAGAAAGTAGAAGCTTTTCTCGATTGCAAAAGGGTATTGACCACTGCTTCTGAGAGACCTAGTAGTTGAAGTCTTTCTTTTTCAAGACCCATACCCCCAATTTGAGGCGTTCCGGATGAGGATGGAATATTGGGCCCTGCGTTAGCAGATCCTCCATAACAGGAAGAGGCCAAGGCTGTTCTTGGCTCATCATAGACAATAGGGGGAACCACGGCCTCCGAGGCCAAATCGGAATTATGGCAATAACCTTCTTTCCTTCCGACCAAACCTTCTGCAGGAACCTGGGTATCATGGGTAAGGGAGGGAACGCATACCCCAGATCGAATGACCAAGGAAGAGAGAGAGCATCCTGGCCCATTGCCTGACGGTCCGGGTGGAGGGAGAAGCAATTCTCCACCTGATGATTCTGGGAGGACGCCATCAGGTCGATGTGGGGCATGCCCCACCGATGGGAAATCCATGCAAAGACTGCCGGGTGAAGTTTCCATTCTCCTTCTGCTGAGGAAGTCTGCAGTCACGTTCTCCAAACCTGGAAGATAGATCGCCTTCAGACCTTGGAGATTGGTCATGGAGATTGTCATCAAGGGAGCTAGTTCCTTCAAGAGCAATCTGCTTCTTGTGCCACCTTGGTTGTTCACATATGAAGCAACCGCTCGGTTATCTGTTTTGATCAGTACCCAAGAATTTAAGATCCTTGGTAAGAACACCAAGATGGCCTTGGAAACAGCTCTCAGTTCTCTTAGATTTGAGTGTAGCTGACTCTTCTCGGGTCCACTTCCTTTGAGTCCATGTGGAATTGAAGTGGGCACCCCATCCAAAAGAAATGGTATCTGTTGTAATAACCGTCCAAGGAGGTTCCTCCAATGGGAATTCTTCTTGTTCTTCCACCAGTTAAACACTTTCCTCACGGCAGGGGTAGAGAGATCCTTTGCTCCCAATCTGTTCCCACTCTGTCTAACTGGAGAAGGAAGCAATTCTGGATCGGACAAAAGTTCCACTGGGCCCATTTTACCAACCCTATAGTTGATGTCAAAGAACCCAGGAGACTCATGACTTCTCTTGCAGAGGCAGTCTCAAGCCCTTGTAGCTTCCCTACTTTGTCTCTGATTTGTGTGACCCTTTCCGGAGACAGGAACACATGGGCAGATACAGTGTTTATCACTGCTCCGAGGAATACGATCGTCTGAGAAGGAATCAGGGAGCTTTTTTCCATGTTCAGAAGCCAACCGTGGTCTTGAAGAATGTTCATTGCCACCAACGTGTGATGAGCTACTATCCTTTGAGATGGACCTATGATAAGGATGTCGTCCAAGTAATGGAAGATCTCGATACCTTGCTGCCTTATGAAGGCTATCAAAGTAACAAGAACTTTCGAGAACGTTCTTGGCGCCAAGCTGAGGCCAGACGGTCCCCGGAACTGCAAGTGCCTTCCTAGCGCCCAGAACCCGAGAAACTGCATATGATCTTGGTTTATAGGGATTTGTTAGTAGGCGTCCCTCAAGTCTATGGAGGTCATCAAGTCTCCTATTTTGACGCTCTTCAAGATGGTCTGTAAAAATTCCATTTTGAATGTTCTTACATCGAGCATGGAGTTCACACCCTTCAAGTTCAAGATGAGACACCATTTTCCCTGGGGTTTTGGGGCCAAGAACACTGTGTAGTAAACCCCCAGGAACCTTTCCTGTCTTGGAACTTCTTCCACCACTTTCTGTTCCAGGACAAGAAATTTAAAGAATAAGTAAAACACAAGTCCCTTCATAGATGACTTCCTCAGAAAAAAAAGAGCAGCAAACTGACCAGCAAATGCCCAACAAAGAACACAATCAGAAAACAAGGAATCCTACCTGGTAAAGACCAAACCACTCCAGGCAGCCTAGCACAGAAGCAGAATCTGAGCACACAGGAACAACTTCTCTCAACAGGTGACTCAGCGAGCAAGCAGAGAACCAAGATCCCCAAGTTTAAATAGCGCCAGGAAAACCTGCTGCTCAGCGCATGCGCAGACCGCCGGAACGCACGGGGCCGAAAAAGACCACTTCCGGTTTTGCCGGCCTGGCTGCGACGTCACTTCCGCCTGCTGGAACGCACACTGCCTTCCAGCCACGCTGGCCTCACCAGGAACCTGCAGACAACCACAGAGGGCACCCCTGCCGCAGCAGAGAGGGACTCCACCCCAGGAAAGATCACTTAGAACACAAGTAAGTTAACAGGATCCCCCACAGGAGGACCCCCATAGTATGGATCCCAAACACTGCCACCAACACTAGGGGAAGGAATTATTAAACCCCAGTTGCTAGGGGCAAGACAAACAAGGGGAATTTTTATGGAAGACAACCCCATATTCTCAGATTACCTGTAGCCGTGTCTCCCTCAGAACTGCAATTCCCATGCAGCAGTTCAGTACTTACACTGAACCTGACCCAGTTAAGTCCTGCTCATGCAGGCTGTTTACTGGGTCCTTCAAATAGAGAGGCTGAACTTCATTTGGAACGAACCCACGACAAAAGCAGGAAGGTGGCAATAAAATAAAATGTAAAAAGTCCTGTAGAACTTGCCAAGGACAGGAAAAAAAGACTGAGGTGTAAGGGGAGGAGGGACTCTTTATACCCAGTCTAATTAATTCCTGACCTCTGACTGCTAAGGGAGGAGCTACCCATAAGTGATGCTGCCATGATTAGCCAGGAAATGTTTTTACAAAAGGGGGAATGACAGCACTCCTGGCACCATTAACCACTTAAGTGCAGTGTAATGGTGTTTTAATCGTAACAGTAAGTTATACAATCACCTACCAGTGTTACTCCACTTATCAGTTACCTTTAACAAGTAAAGCCCCCAAATTGTGAAAATGTTGGTGCTATGTAATTGCAAGTGTTCATAGAAAAACATAGCTCTTCTTAATTTTCAGGTGGACGTTTGGAGAGTCTAAGTTTATTTGAGTATGGCTGTCCACCTCATGTCATTTAACTTCACATTATATATACATATTCTAAAAGTTTGAGAGCAGTTATGTTGGTACTCCACAAAACCAAAGCGCAAGGAGTAATTCAGATTTGCACAACCTTGAAAATATACTATATTGGTAAGAAACAAACATACTGTAGCTCAAATAATTTTTCAAAAGTGGTTATGACACATTGCAAGATAACCACAAAGCAAGCTTTAAAGTGGCTGGGGGAATTCACACTTGACAGCAGTAGCTCCACCAGTGTCAAGCGGAGGAAAAAGTATAATCTCGATTGGTGAAATTCCAACAGAATCAATATGAATATTCTATGCAGATGAAATAATCTTTATTAACCTCTTAAGGACAGAGTCAATTGTACACGTTCTGATGTAAACAAAACCTGGAATTTGCGCTGTATGTTTGTTCAACTATAATTTACATCATTCATATTAAGTGCACCCACACTTCTTATATATCATTTTGCTCAGGAGAAAACAGGTTATTTTAAATCAAATATTTAGATTAGAAACTATTTAATATGAATTTTTTTGTAAAGAACTTGAGAAATTAAGACATTTTAATTTTCAAGTTCTGCATGATATTTTAACTGAATGTCTTAGTTTTTGCTGCAATAAAATGCACATATTTGTAATCAGCAAGGTCTTACAAGAACAGTAAATCTCATGTACAGGTTTTATGGGGTATTGGAAAGTTACAGGGTCAAATAAAAGGCTTTTCCCTTTATTTCTACACATTGAAATTTGTCAGATTGGTTTGCTGTGCCTATGCTGCCTTTGAGACCGTACGGCAGCCCAGAAATTAGAATTACCCCCATCATGGCATATAATTCATAAAATTAGACAATCCAGAGTATTTAGAATGGGGTAAGTTTTGTAGTAGCCACTTGGACACAAACCCTGGCAAGTTAGCTGCCATATTCGTGTTTTTTTTGCATTTTTCACACAAAAACTGCTTTTACTGACATGTTTTAGTGCTCTAAAACACTCATTTGTGTGCAACAAAATTTTACGAGTACAACAGTACTCCATATGTACAGATTTTATGGGGTTTTGGAAAGTTACAGGGTTAAATACAGGGCTTGTAAATTTAATTTGCTGGATTTTTGCCTGGGTTACCAGGCAGCTCCCTTTAATAATAAAATTACTTCTGTAAAAAAAAATAAAAAAATTCTAAGTGTACACTGAGAGATTATATATACATATATCAAGATACTATATATGTATCTTGATATATACATTTAATAAATTATATATTTTATATTACACAATTATTAAGTCATCTGATTAATATATTATACATATATAATTTGACTCCAAGTGTATTTCGGTATTTATATAGATGAATACCAAAATAGACATACATACACACATATACACACACACACACACAAAAATATATACACACATTATATTTGTGTTATACATGTATAATATGCTAATCAGATGAATTTATTATATTTTTTTAATGTGCGATTTTCACATTTTGATTTTCTGGCATTAATGGGACTGCAAGAACGTTCAGGCAGTCCCAGACTACTTTGCGGTCATATGTTTGCAACGTCTGTTGCGATCACATGGCCCTGGAGGGCTGAAATGGAAGCCTGGAACTACCTGTCACCTGAGGCACCAGGAAAGCGCACGATCGTTAGGCTCACTAAATGCACAACGGCATAATACACCCTAATGGCATTAAGGGGTTAAATACAAAATTTTCAGGGGGTGCTGCTTTAATGGACAGTTACTATATGAGTACTATTTTGGATCACACCGCTGACCATGTTGATAAACAGAGTAAGTTTTAATTCAGAAGTAAAAAGTAAAGAAAAAACATACAAAGAGAAAAATATCTTTTTGATTACTTTATTTTATTTGAACAAATATCTGATCTTAAGAGGAGCTGGAGGCTGCAACTGCAGCTCTTTTGGGTTTCGGTGTTGTTCCTTCACGGAATCCATTTCTGTGTGTGGAAAAAACAAAAAAAGAAAGAATTAATATTTTATAAACTGTGGAAAAGAATATATAAAATCTGCATCCAAACAGTAAGTTTAGCTTATCTCAGTTAGAAAAACGAAATCATTAGTTGTCATATGTTCAGACATTTATTTATAGAACATCATAGATAAGCTTCAGAATCCTAACAGTTAACGACACCTCATGAGTTAAAAGGCCAGGTTACCAAAGGTTCATTTATACCATAGATTGTGTTAAAGGACCACTATAGTGCCTGGAAAACACACTTGTTTTCCTGGCACTATAGTGCCCTGAGGGTGCCCGCACCCTCAGGGCTGGATGGAGAGGAAGGTGTTAAACTTACCTCTTTCTCCAGCGCCGGGCGGGGAGCTCTCCTCCCTCTTCTTCCGGCACCGGCTGAATGCGCGACAAGAGCTGCGCGCGCATTCAGCCAGTCCATAGGAAAGCATTATCAATGCTTTCCTATGGACGCTGGCGTCTTCTCACTGTAAAAATCACAGTGAGAAGCGCCTCTAACGGCTGTCAATGAGACAGCCACTAGAGGCTGGATTAACCCTAATATAAACATAGCAGTTTCTCTGAAACTCTTAAAATAGTCTCAACAAGAACACCGCATTGAAAGATTTTAACTTCAGTATATCAGCTAAAAAAAAAAAACACCTCTATTGGCTGTCAGTGTAACAGCCACTAGACACATAACCCTATAATTTAAACATTACTGTTCCTGCATAACTGCAATGCTTTCAGTTGCAGCATTAAACCAACAGGGACGTGGCACCCACACCACTTCGAGCTATAGAGTCCCCTTAAAAGAAAGCTACACCTACCCCCAATTGTAAAGACTGTAAATTAATTCCACTCAGACACTGGCAGAATCGATATAGATATCAACTTCTAGCTGAAGTTTCTACTTCTGCTTTTTATATCTATCAAGGGCAGAGACACAGGATCCAGGCATGTATCAATACATTCTATCAAATTAATGAAATAGCATTTATTGAGAAAATCGAGTTAGGCAATACGCCAACATGAATGGAATCTGTATGCAGGCTCCATTCATTTAGCAACATAACTTTTGCTCAATAATTTGAATTATGAAATTCATAAATATCTATATGCCTCCAACAGATTTTTTATTTATTTATTTTTTTAAGTAAAATGCTTTTGGAGAAACACTTATCAAGCACCTTTTCACAGCAAAATAAGATAAGCATACAAAGCTCAGAAAAAAAGACCCAAACAGAGTCTGCAAATCTACGCACACAATTAATATCTTTTATTTAAGCCGTTCTCGAAACTAGCTGTTCACAAAGCATCGATTTTAGATGTGAAACACGTCCAGTGTCCTTCTAGGTTTTATATGTAGTCCCCTTCAAATGTGTGTTTCTTAGAAAAAAAAAAATCTTTGAAATATACAGTTGGGATTTCACTAAAACTCCAGCTCAGTAAAGATTTACTAAAGCAAGTAGGGACTACTTTGGCTTAGTATTTTTCATATGACTTACAAAAAGAACCCTTGTACTGCACAACAAAGTCAACACCTGGGTTTTAATGCAAAGGCCCCACACAGTGAAAGAGCCTTTTTAAATTTAGTCTAACAACCAGTTTATATCAAATCCACACTATGAGCGACCAGGGTAAGTTGTCAAACCATATCAAAACAGTTTGGCAAATTACGATGGAATAGCACCAGTAAGCCGTCCTTAAGGTGCTTGGAGATTTCCTTTCAAATGAATAATCGTAATTGGAAGAAAAAAAAAAAAAAATCATACAGATGTGTTAAAGGAAATCTGTGAGCACAACATGTCAGGAGAAGATATGGGAGGAAGTCAGCAGCATTTGTCAGATCCCAGGTAGTCACACTGTTCAAAAATGGTTTGACTCACCAGAATGATGGGACTGCTAGGGCATTCCTGGCATCATAAACACTTTGCTAAACTGTAGCGTTTATGGTGCTTGGTTTGTTTCTTTCAGATTAAATCATTTTTTTTTGCAGATGATCCATTTAAAAGATTCAAACGAATAAATCAGAAGTGGTGATCTCAGCCGTTTCATTTCTGCATTTGTAACAGACAGCATGTTTGACCAAGAACCAGGGGGCAGTGCCTGCAGCGTTATGGCACCATAACCACTACACTGTAGTGTTTATGGATCCTAGAGTGTGCCTCTTAAAAGCAAACATGCCAAATTCCATGCGTATCATTTGTCCCCAGTTTGGAAACCCTCATAATGCTTCCAGGCTAGCTTACCTGAACCTCCTGTACACAACCTTCAGATGTCTCATACGGCCAGTACCAGTGGTGTTGCGTCTCTTGGCTTTGGCGCTCCAGTTATCTAAATTTGGAGATTTAAGTCAAACACAATTAGCATTAATTACAAATCATACCATACAGTGGATAGCATGTATACTTCACAGATATTTTAAGGTGGTCCTGTCAATGCTCAGTTTCATAAGTCACTGAAATTCCAGTACAGTCAAACGATATACACAAAGTAAGAGCCCCAAATTGGTCATGCAGAACACTGTTGGAATAGTGATTAACTTTGTCTTTACCATCATCCTTTAAGATGCGGAGAGTGGAATACAACACACATTTCACAGACCCTCATTTAAAATTTGCACACAGGAGTGCAAACACAAAGCTACTCCAGGAACACAAGTAGGATGGTAAACCGAGGACAGAACTACTGGCAAACACCATCTCCCCCAGGCTTTGCCATTCAGCATATATAAGTGACAGGTTCACACTAAACATTTTAGGAGTGGTTTGCCATGGTTGCTTTTACTAAGCTCTCTTTTGAAACTTATTAATTTATGACTGACCTGACAGTGATGGTATTTTTAGAATAGAAATATAAGTACAAGTTCACTAAACATTCACTAAATACAAGTTCACTAAACATTCATTAAATCCATAGTTTTAAAGTACGTGATTTAGACACTCACACTTTCTCTTGCGCTTTGCTGGGTATCCACACTTGCCACAAGTTGATTTTTGCAGATGATATGCCTTAGATCCACAGCGACGACACAGAGTGTGTGTCTTGTTCCGGCGCTTTCCGAATGACGATGTTCCCTTCGTCTACAAAAGAAATATATGGTCAGGAAAATCAAGACAAAAACCAAACAAAAAAACACACCATCCAAGTATGGTGCATTCATCTCAGTACAAAAATGTGAATCATAAAAATTTCATATGTTCAGACATTTATTTTGAGCATCACTGATAAATGCATATTTGGCGAAGGAACAGTAAAATACAAAAATATTCGTTTTTTTATTCACGGTTAGCCCTCACGAATTTATAAATCAAAACTACTTGGGTTATACAAAGCAAGTATCTTTAAAATAGACAATATGCCACTGAACAAATTTGTACAAACACAACAGAAAGAAAAGTATGTGTAATTACACTAGGCAGCCTGGTAGCTTATAAATAATTTGGATCCAGAGTACATAGTGTTCGTTTCCATAAAGAAGCCGCCATAGTCCTGCTCCAGCATTCACTATGGGTCAGGCCGGTACAGGAACTCAGCAATATTTCGCGATCACTGAGCTGAATCTCCAAACCATATTGTATCACCGATACACAGACGGGCCTGCCCAACCAGGTGCTGGTGTTTCTGGGTTGAAGTTTGATGATATAAAGGCGGATGGCAATGGATTGAAAAAACGCAGAACGCCATGAAACTCACCATCTTCCCCAGCGGCCGATACGATAGAGACCGGAACTAAGCGAATAGTTCAGCTATATCGTGAACAAGTACTTCCGGGTGAGCGTCACTGGGAGGGCAGAGGTATAGCGTACGTGTACTGGCGTCTGCGCCATCTTTGAACAGGGCAAATGCCCAAATAAGGAAGTTACTGATACAGGCATCGAAATCCCTATTGGCTCTCGGTTAATGCAAGGAATTTAGTTTATTAAACATTAGAGCTGGGTCTAAATTATTCAAAATAGCCTGACAGATAATAAAGCTTGGAGTGAGCAGGAAATGTTTCTTTTCTCTATTTCCCTGAAGGGGAGCTGTTTATCCTGCTCCTTCTACACATATATGTCTGATGTTATATCTTTAGAAAAGCATTAAAGTTCCATTCTAAACACCATAACCACCACAACCCAATGTAGTGGTAGCCTGTGCCAGGAGTCCTTTGGCACCAGCCCATAATAAATTAATTAAACCAAACACTTTGGTATTTCAATTCTTCATGTTTGAAATGAAACAATTATCTTTTAAAAAAGTTTTTTTTTTTGTTATTTATCAGAATGTGACAAAAAATATATCATAAGCAATACTTACGATTTCAGCAGCATTCCAAAAATATCCTTTTATGGTGTGAATTAGAACTTGCACAAAATGTGCCATCTACATACAGACAGTATTTTAAATTGTAAAATAAAAAAAGACACCACTCCTGTCGAGTAAAAAAACACACACGATCCATACATCAATATGTTCAGGCTTTGGATTCGATTATGGAAAATAATTGATACTTTTACCTTACAACTTGTTACCTGGCAGGTACAACAGGTGACATTAGCATCTCAAGAAGCAGAACTAAAAAAAGAGGCTATATAACAATACAGGTTGGACAGTTTGTATAGATCGATGTACGTACCTGACTGTGTTTATTGACATTTGTGACAACCTGTGTAAGTGCCTGCAGATGCACGTACGTGACCAAGTGTCTGTGTGAAGATGAATAAGTATATTCATGGACAGTAGCGGCTCTAGACTTTCTGAGGCCTTAGGTGAAACTCAAACATGAGGCCCCAACTAAGACCCAAAGTGAAAAAAAAAAACCCACAGGGTTTGCATTGTGTGTGCATAAGGAGCTGTAATTATATTTCAGAGTGGGTTTGCAGTGCTGAATACAGAGAGCTAGTCTCTGTATTCATTGTTCAGAGGCTTGCACTATCGTGGCTCCATGTCCTACTGCATTGTGAGCTGACTATAGTAATGGCATAATTTGCAAACTAAATTAATTTGCAACACACATTTAATTAGCAATTAAGCTAATTGCTTATACATGATTGTGGGGTATGATTACATAGCCTTGCAGTCGTGTATGCGTATGTGCCAGTGTGAAGGAGTTATTGGAATCAAGAACTAAACTTTTGGTTGAGCAAAAAAGCTTTAAAAAAATAATTTACCATATAATAAAATTGTAGATAAGAAAACAGTGTCGTAAACATTTTCCCCACATATTCTATAATACTTTCACATATACACTATCCTATATAATATATATTTGTTGCCCCATGCATTGTTTATGTATGTATATTATATATATGTTGCCACTTTACCTTTGCATTGCCCATACCACCTCACGTTACAGCCATGCACACTCTGATACATGCACATGCATACACACACAAACACACTGATGCACAGAGAAACACACATTGGCAAATCCAAACATACTGTCACAATGTTTATCTGGCTGTGTGTATTTTTGAGGGGGCGTGTGGTTACCCTGCACCAGGCCCTGATGGTCCATTTCCACGCTGAGACTCCCATCATCATCAGGCACTCAGGGGTCCCGGTCTCCGGGCTGCCACCCGTGACAATTAGCCCACACACGGTCTTTTATGCACAGCCCCATAGTATGGTGTCTCTACAGCAGGTTTACAGTTTTTTTTTCCCAAGAGTCTCTGGGTCTGAGAGATAATTGCGCTGGGAAACATGGTAACTCAATTATCTCTCAGTTACAGGGACTAACATAAAATATCATAAAACACTGGAAAAACATAAAAACATTACAGGAACCCCACAATTCTTATATCCCCAAATAGCCTGTGTCTGAGTGCCCAACATATCTGAAAAGCGCTCAGATGAAACGAGATCGCTATTCAGGAGGAGTTTTGACCAGCCACGAGGTAATGCCCCAAAAGAGTTCTAGGGAATCCAGGGCAGTGGCCGGTCTTCGTTCGGGAGTTCCTGACGAATGCTCCCCCTGGCTCTTAGGTAGTGAATGCTCCCACCTGTCGGTAGGTCCTATCTCCCGAACGTGGTTCTTGCCGTATAGCAGAGAATAGACAGAGTCAAGAACGAGGCGAGGTCAAGGGAACAAAGAGACTGCGAGAACAAAAACTAGCCAAGGTCTGGTACACAGTAGTCAGTAAGCCGGCAAACAAGACAAAACAGGGATAGAGAGATAAACGGAGTCAGATACAAAGCCAAGGTCAAGCACGAAAATCACAACTGAACACAACAAGCGCTAAAGGGAACTGAAACAGAAACCACGATAGGGCAGGGAATTAAGGGAGAGGTACGTATAAATACCCTAACCTTTACTTTGATTGGCCCCTGTCATATCCACGCCCCCAAAATGTGAGTGTATGGGGAATGCGGGATGACAGGGGCCAATGGGAGACTGTATTTTTTGGCTCCCACTGCCCCTTTAAGAGCATGCCCGAGACGCGCGGCACGCTCTTAGAGCTAGGCGGGACATGTGAAATCATCTCGCGGTCCGTGCCCTCCTTCATCCGAGAGCCACGCGCGGTGGGAAGAGAGGACCTCGGCCGGCCTCCGGGTAAGGTAAGTACCGCTACAGTACCCCCCCTGATGACACGCCCACCGGGCGGGGAGGACCAGGTCTGGCAGGAAAACGAGAATGGAAGGAATGCACAAGGCGAGGAGCATGAACAGCATCAGCGGAAAGCCAACTGCGTTCCTCAGGCCCATAACCCTTCCAATGCACCAGGTACTGGAGGTGACCCCTGAGAAAACGAGAGTCAAGCACAGCAGCTACTTCGAATTCCTCATGACCCTCCACAGAAACAGGAGGGGGAGGAGGAACATGCCGGGTATAGCAGTTACACAGGAGGGGCTTCAACAAGGAGGTGTGAAAGACGTTAGGAATACGTAGGTTCCTAGGAAGATCCAAGGCAAACGAAACAGGATTGACTCTATGCAAAACACGAAAAGGACCAATAAAACAGGGAGCCAACTTCATAGAAGGCACACGAAGGCGGATATTGCGAGAGGAAAGCCAAACCCTTTCCCCCACGACATAGGATGGAGCCGCCCTGCGATGCTTGTCAGCTTGAATCTTTTGGCAAGCAGTGGAGTCCACCAAAGAACGCTGAACCTGCTCCCAAGAAGTACGTAAACCAGCCAAATGTTCATCCAGAGCTGGCATGCCCTGTAAGGAGAATGCAGCTGGAAGAACAACAGGATGCCAGCCATAAACAACGTAGAAAGGGCTTTTACTGGAAGATTCATGAGCAGCGTTGTTACGAGCAAACTCAGCCCAAGGAAGCAGGTCAGACCAATTGTTCTGATGGTGGGATACGAAACAATGAAGATACTGCTCTAGGGACTGGTTGGCACGTTCAGCAGCCCCATTAGACTGGGGGTGGTAAGCGGAGGAAAACGAGAGAGAAATACCCATCTCAGAACAAAAATCTCTACAGAATCTGAAAATAAATTGGCTACCCCTATCTGATACAATAGATACAGGAATACCATGCAACCGAAACACCTCCCTGGCGAAGATATAAGCAAGTTCCTTGGATGAAGGCAATTTAACAAGAGACACAAAATGAGCGATTTTAGAAAATCGATCCACTATGATCAGGATGACTGTTTTGCCATTCGAAGGAGGCAATTCAACAATCAAATCCATGGATAGGTTGGACCAAGGCCTCTCGGGTATGGGAAACGGGTGCAACAACCCACAAGGAACTCTATGAGAAGACTTCATACTGGCACAAGTAGTACATGTCTGAACGTAATCGGTGACATCCTTGCGTAAGGAAGCCCACCAAAAATATCTAGAAACTGCTGTTAAGGTTTTAGAAATACCAGGATGTCCAGCAGTTTTGGCGTCATGATAGAACGACATAATGTCTCGTCTTTCGGGAACATCAACAAACAATTTATCAGCAGGTTTCTCACTGGGTGCCATGTTTTGTTTAGCCTGTATAACTTGTAAGAGTGAAGAAGAAATCTATAGAACCGTAGTAGCTATTATTCTGTCTGGGGGAATGACAGGGGTATCGTCCAACTCTTGTTTGTCGGTAGTTTCAAATTGTCTGGACAGAGTGTCGGCTTTAGTGTTACGTTCACCTGGTCTGTAGGTGATGATATAATTGAAATGAGATAAAAACAGTGACCACCTGGCCTGCCTAGAAGACATTCTTTTGGCTTCACTAAGGTAGGAAAGGTTTTTGTGATCAGTAAAAATGAGGATGGGGTCCTTAGTACCCTCTAAAAGATGTCTCCACTCCTTAAGTGCTAAAACAATAGCAAGGAGTTCTCGATTGCCTATGTCATAATTCTTTTTGGCTTTGGACATCTGCTTGGAAAAGAAACCACAAGGATGTAATGGCTTATCAGGTGATTCTCTTTGAGATAAGACAACACCCACCCCAATATCAGAAGCATCAACTTCAAGAATATACGGTAAAGAAGAGACAGAATGCTGTAAAATAGGAGCAGAGGCAAAAGCAGTCTTAAGAAATTCAAAAGCCTCAAGCGCCTCTGGGGACCAGACACGAGTATTACCATCCTTTTTAGTCATACGGGTTATAGGTGCTACAATAGAAGAAAAACCTTTAATAAAGCGTCTATAATAGTTGGAAAAACCAAGAAAACGCTGAATGGCTTTCAGGCCCTGAGGTAGAGGCCATTCCATGACAGCAGAAAGCTTCTGGGGATCCATACGAAAACCCTTAGCAGAAATTAACCCAAAAACTGGACTTCGGATTGATCAAATAAACATTTTTCTAGTTTACAATAAAGACCATTAACAAGAAGGG